GCGTTTCCTAGTCGCTTTTTGAGTTCCCGGAGGATGACCTTGTTGGCAGCTTCGGCTTGGCCATTGGTCTGGGGATGTTCCACTGAGGTTGAAAGGTGTTTGATTCCGAGCTCGCGGAGGAAGTCCTCGAATTCCTGTGCGATGAACTGTCGACCATTGTCAGTAACGAGGGCGTGAGGGATTCCGAACCTGCATATGATATTCTTCCAGGTGAACTTCTGCACGTTCTCGGTGGTAATTTTGGCGAGTGGGCATGCTTCGATCCATTTGGTGAAGTAGTCGACCGCTACCAGGAGGAATTTTAGTTGGCCTTTCGCAAGGGGGAATGGCCCGAGGATGTCCATTCCCCACTGGGAGAAAGGCCACGCCGACATCATACGGTGGAGAGTTTCGGGCGGTTGTCGGTGTGCGTTGCCGAATTGCTGGCATTCTTTGCATTTTTGGATGTGGTTTTGGCAATCCGACTTCAGAGTGGGCCAGTAGTACCCAGCTCGGAGTACTCTGGTTGCCATCGAACGTGCCCCGGAGTACATGCCGCATATCCCCTGGTGGATTTCCTTGATGACATAGGCTGCTTGAGACGCAGTCAGGCATTTGAGCAGTGGGGAGGAAACGCCACGCTTGAATAACTCATCCCCGATGATGACGAACTTGGCCGACCTCATCCTTATCTTCCGAGCTTCATCTTTATTTTTGGGCAGGACTCCTTCTTTCAAGTAGCCCCAGATGTCTGTCATCTAACCCAGGCCTTCATTGTCACTGACGTTGACGACCTTGTCGTCCAAGCTGGGTGAGTGCAAGGTTTCCTGGATGATGGTTCGGTGCTGCCCGGGTCTTTTGGTGCTGGCGAGCTTCGATAGGAGGTCAGCTCGGGTGTTTTGCTCTCGTGGCATATTCTATGACATCAAATTGATGGACATGATCAATCAACCAGGGCATTGAAGAAACTATCTGGTAAATGAGATTGTTTGCCGATGATGATCAAGATCGATTGCCTTAACATTTTATATTGTAACCTTCTACCTATTTGACAGAATTGCTTGATACGTATTTGAAACAATGCTTCACTATCATGCATGTGTTGACAAAATTTTCTTAGCAACTCTTACTTCCTTGAAGAGATAACAAAGATTAATAATGAGTCAAAGCACAAAAAAAAAAAAATACTATCTCTATTATCCTACTAATTTACAAGTCACAACTTGTATCTTAACTAATTCTCAATACAAAAGGAACATTTTTAATGATTTAGAGTTTACTTACTAGCAATAAAAGTAGAGCTTAAGCATGTTCCCTTCATCTCAATTAATTATGTCAAAATACTTGTTCCCCTTAACTGCTACGTCATATGCTTCAACAACTTCTGTACTATATTCAAGAGCCTTATAGTGCAATTCTTTCACAATAAGATTGGGCAAACTTTCAAAAAGAAAATTGAGCCAAAAACACCTTTACTTCCCAATTTCAGTGCAAAATTCGAAATTGAAAATTACGAGAGGGAATGTTTGGTAAATGATGAAATTTTTCATGTTTGAAAATCATGAAAATCTGATTGGTTGGTTATAAAGATTTTTGAGAATTTTTTAAATGTTACTTGAGAATCAAGATTTTTTAATTTTTACTACATTAAATAAAAATTAAAGATTCCATGACATTTTTACTTTATTAAAATTTTATTTTTACTATAAAAAAGTTAGTTTTCTACCTCTTTCATAGGAATCATTTTGTGGAAAACTTATGCAAAAATCATTATCAAGAAACAATATTTTTAATGTTATTTTTAAATGATAAATTACATGCGAGAAACTAAACTTGCTTGATTATTGAAAAAGTAAAAAATTTTCTATATACTAAATGTCTAGTAAAGGTCTTCAATATAGACCAACAAAAAGACCTGAAAAGGTCTTCAATAAGGCAATGATCAAAGTCAAATAGAAAAGCAAATAATTTCATCAGTTTGATTTATGAAACTTGTACATATCTCTCAATATTCAATTATTATTTATGACTTTTTTGGACACTTAATAAAAAATTAAATTGTAGTAACAAAAAAAGTGACGTGTATAAATTTGAAATTAATCAATTAATGGGTGTTGGATCAACTCCACATAGAACCAAAGCTAATGCAAATTAAGTATCATTCCTCGCTCACAATTTAATTATAAGATTAGTTAACATAAACATTAAGGAAGGTGATTGACCTACAAGCGAAAATGACAATGGTGTTGTCACTTGCGACAATGGTAGCTCACTTATCATGCATAAATTGTTGTTCAAGTCATACAACTTCGGTGATATCTCAAGTTTTCCCACACTAATCTTTATATAAAGTTAATTGTTTTAAAACATTATAATGATAAAATCACATTAGCCTTAAATAAAAAAATTGTTGTTTCAATTAGTTTGATACTTGTATTTTTTAACAAAATTTTAATTTTTGTCTTAAATATAAAATTACGACTAAAAGTATTAATTTATTTATTATCTCTATATAAGTTGATAATATTAATAGAGTAAATTAGCGAAAAGATATTGTAACTATAAAAAATCATCAAAATGAACTAAAAACACATATAATGAGGGATAAAGGGAAAAAAAACTAAGGGTGAACATGAGTTTAAACAAATGCAACAATTTGACTTGGTATTGATAGTTTGAACTGATCAAAATTTTTTCTTTTGATTAGATTCATATTTATCAAATCATGAAATTGATTTGAATTTGCGCTCACCTTTAAAAAAAAAGAAAAGAAAAAGAAACACAAGTAATTGATTTATTTGTATTTTCATTTTTCCTTTTCACTATTTAATTATAAAACTGTCATTTTATTTTTAATTTATTTCTATATTCAAAGATTTGTAAAGGAAACAGAGAAAATAAAATAATTTTTGATTGGTGTTTCTTATAAAAATATTTAAAAACAGTAAACAAATTAAAAATAAAAAAGAAAAGAAAGAATTTTCAATTAAAAATAAAAACAAAGTAATCAGCCCTAATTAATCCTTTATTAACCACAAAACTAAAAGAGCTCGTGTGGAAATCCCCGGATGCTGCGAATGATGTCTTTGGTTTTCTAAGCTACGGATTCTCCTAAACCCGATTACCTGTCTCTGTCAAGTCAATAGGTTACATTTCAATCGCTCTTACACAGTGAAGAGCTTCGTGTGGAGGAGCAAGTGGTTGCAGTTATCAACAACGTTCACTGAAATCTGCGAGTGAGTAAATGGTTCCCAAATTCCTCATTGCAAGATTATCTCTATCATTCACACACCACAGGAGTACCCATTTCCAATTGCTGCAACCCAAACACAATGCTATCCTTTTGTTCTTCAATTCATTCACTTCAGGCACCTCTTCTGATTCTGAATCAGATGGAAACCACCCTAAAGGTGACACCTTTACTGTGTCTTACCTCATCAACTCATGTGGGGTGTCCCCAACAGTGGCTAAGGAACTCTCCAAAAGGGTCAATTTGAAAACCCCAGATGGCCCAAATGCTGTTCTTGATCTTCTCAACAACTATGGGTTCTCAAAAACCCAGCTTGCAAAACTTGTAATGAGACACCCTTTTGTGCTTGGTTCAAATGCAGAGAATACCCTTTTGCCTAAACTCAAGTTTTTACAATCCATTGGGGTTTCTAACAGTGACATGCCTAAAATCGTCATTAATAGTCAGCATATCTTGTTCAGAAACTTGGAAAAATGCCTCATTCCGCGCTATGAGATCCTAAAGAGTGTACTTCGTGACGATGGGGAAGTTGTAAGAGCTTTGAAAAACGCCCCTTTTGCTTTTACTTATAGTGGCGTGGTGAATTACTTGGTTCCAAACATTGAGGTTTTGAGGCAATGTGGTGTGCCCCAAGGTTCCATCTCTTACATGATGATCCATTGTGGGAGTGTAGCCTACAGGAACCATTCTAAGTTTATGGAAGCTGTCAACACTGCTAAGGAAATTGGGTTTGATCCTTTGAAAACAGCGTTCATAGTGGCTATTGAAATGCTTCTAACTAAGAGCAAAGAAACATGGGAATCAAAGTTTGGGATTTATGAGAGGTGGGGCTGGAACCGTGAAATGGCTCTTCGAGCATTTCGTAAGTTTCCCGGTGTTATGAAGTTGTCAGAGGAGACGTTTACCAAAAAAATGAGTTTCCTAGTGAAGGATATGGGTTGGTCACCAGAAGATATTGCTGAATACCCTGTAGTTATGGGGTACAACTTGGAGAAGAGGATTATCCCTAGATTCTCGGTAATCAAAATCTTGATATCAAAAGGTCTGCTTGAGAATGATGTGCACTTCAGTGGCATTATTTGCATAACTGAGGAAAACTTTTTGGAGAAATTTGTCATCAATTTTAAGGAAAATTTGCCTCTCTTGCCAAATGTCTACAACAGTTTGATCAATGCTCAGAGTGTAATTTAGTCTTCGAAGATTTTTGCTGGTGATTGTTCTAACTTCCAATTTATTTTCTATTTCAATGTTAAAATGAACTGATTTTTGTTAGCTATCACTTTCTGTGTCGGAATTTTGAGTTTTATTTTCCTTGGATGGAGGGACTTTTGGTCAGATTTATAGCATATTGGTTTTATATTCAAGTTTATAAATCCATTTAGTGGTGATTTTCAATTCAATATCGTGGTTTATTTATTTCTGTTGATTAACAACAACACATTAAAAGAATAGTTCTATACTTTGTTGGCTCGAGTTAATTCTGAAGAATTTTTTCTTGATTGTTGCCTCTTGTTTTAAATATGTTTATCTATTATGGGAACATGTGTTTCAGGTCTGTAGTCTGTACTGTTATCATATAACCATCCTATACTTTGTGCCATCCATTTTAACCAAAAGTGATGACCGATGGAAATGTCTACCCTTAAAATTGGCATAAGCTATATTGAATGTCTTTGAGGAAGCCCCTGATTATTTGTCGGAGCACGTGCAAGTGATCATTAACCAAAGTTTATTTCAAAGGAATAATTGCATTTGGTGTGCTACAATTGCCATTTTTTAATAATTGAATTTTTTCATGGTGTCTTATGAGTATATGATGTAGCCCCTTTAACTTAAAATTGTCGCGATATCTTGTTAGTGCACACTGATATTTGGAGTAATGGATATATATTTTTTAATTTTGAATACTTGTCAATTATTGGTGATCTTTATGATTTTGACTGGGCCAGAGAGTAATTAGTTGAAATAGTTTGTTAGTAAGAATAAAGGGTGGTTAGTTGTAGAAATAGGAATTAGCTTAAATAGTAGGAGAGTGTAGAAGAGTGAGCATCCTGTTTTATTTTTGTTTGAGAACCGAGCATTGTAGTCTGTGTTAGTACTGACTACGTATTTATAGAACCAGAATAACATCAGCTATGGTGAATCCACGTGTCAGACCCATATACTCGTATATTTCCTGCTCTATAGCCATGTTATTGAGTTTTTCTGTTCTTTCTTCCAATTTTCATCCAACTAGTCACTTAACCTGTGCAATGCACGGGGTTAAAATAATTATGAAAATCATGTTAAACATTATATTCATAAAGGAAAAAATGAATTAAATACAAAATATAAATTTTTTATTGTCATGTGTCTCTTCAGTTGATATAAACTATATTAACTAAGCATGTGTAATGTATGTCAAGAAATCAATAACATACACTAGAAAATGGAAAAACCCAGCTTTGTCAAAACTCAAACATGATTGCTAAAATTAAAAGACAACCAAGCATGCAAAATTAATAAAACCATTTTAAGTGTCTTTTTTTATTTTTTATGTCTCTACAAAATTTGAAATGAAAAAAGCCTGAATACTAATTTAAAAATAACAACAACAAAAAAAAGATGTAATAACAAAGCTATTTGATTTAGGCGAAGGGTATTTGGTGAAAGAAGAAAGACAATTTTTATCATGCAGAAAGTCTGACAAAGGTAATTCGCCTGTTATTCTTCACTCTAGGTGGTATACATGACAACTTTCTCTAAACGTTTTGTTGGATTTTGGAGTATGATTGTTATGGATGAACTTGAAAGGCTTACTTCATTGTCTGATGGATTTCCTATTGCATGGGCTTTTCTTTTCATAAAATTTTCAAATATTTCCTAATCATTATGCACCTAGTGTTCCCATAATTCTTGTTGGCACAAAGCTTGGCAAGTTTATTACTGCCGAGTGCCTAATCCCGTGTTCTGCGCAGTATGAAAGTGAAAGTAAAATATGATATATTTGAGTTATTTGTATCCTTTTTTTTATTATATATATGAGTATGTGTATAGCTGTATTTTTTTTCCTTTTTTTATTTTGTATCATGCTATCCTTTGTGTGGATTCAGCTAGAATTTCTTATGCTTGCCTGCTCAGGTGTCCTTTAAAGAGGATCCTTTTAAGTAGTAACATGCTCTTATAAGCATCTTGAAATTGCAGAGGATGTGTAAATTGAATTGATGCAAGCATTTGTCACGTTTCAATTTAGCTGAAACAAAAATTAGAGCTAGAAATAAAATGTCTGTTGTTTTAGGTTCATATGTTTGTACTTCGTTGGAGATTTAAATGTGGAGAAGAAGGATCAGTACAAGAATGTTATTCTGTAGTTGATGTGGAAAATTACTTTAAAGAAATCTCGATTAATGCATGCCTGTTACAAGATATCATTAAAAATACGGTTTCGGGTCTTGTGCTAATGACATCATTAAAGCAGATTCTTATGTTCTTTAGTACACACTACACATGTATCAAAGATTAAGCATGACTATTGTGAGTTGGCACATATAGTTTAGGAAATAGTCATAGCTTGTGTTCTCCATGACTAAGTATCGACACCTCTTACGACCATTAAATCCTATTTTGGTAGGTTTATATACTCAAGGAGATCACTTGATGATAGATGTGAAATACCTTTAGTGAACTTCTATTAATTTGACAAGTAAAGTTTTGAGTCAAATTGAATATTATTAAATTTCGACTAATCACTAAGTGAACAGTAAAATTTAGGATGAAGATTTCTAACATGTTATTGATTCTCTATCCGATAGTCTTGAGGTGTTATCTCTTATCTATCGTTTTATTTATAAAAGAATGATCTGGCATGTGCTTCCAAAGTCTTCCTGGGAGTGGCTAGCAACAATAAAAGAACAAATTGTATAAAATTCATATCTATTAAAAAAAATTCTTAATACAAATTGAATTATTTTAGTGTGTATTGGTATCAATGAAGAAATATTTGTACGAAAGCATGGAATTTGTATTGGCTTAATGTTCAGTTTCCAATTTTGGTTGAGTGGCAATATTTAGAACATGATCCAAATAATGTGGTCATTGAAGCTTCATTTGGAACAAAGGCAAGCAAAAATAAGTGAAAAATGGAACTAGGCTTGTAGCGAACAACATAGAATCCATGGGTAGTTTTTTATTTTTTAATTTCTTGGAATTTATCAAGGAACAAGGGAGTCTAAATAACACTAATTTTATTAAAGGCACCTTTTTGTTTCCTATAATACACTGATGTAGTAAAATTAAAATATCTTTGATATTTAGAAGGTTAGATAGATGAGTTATTAGAGTCAGTCTAGTCGTAAGGGTTGAGATAATAAACACATAATCTTAAGTGAATCACGTTTTCGTCTTTGTAATTCTTATTGATAAAAAATGAAGGCACATATCTCATCGTGTCTTAAAAATTTATTTACCTATTTTTCTTTTTTATGTTTGTTTCCCTTCCTTCTCCCTGACAGGTTTAATCATTTATCCTATAAAAGGGACATTAGAGCACGTGTTAACACACCAAAATTGAGAAGTTCCTTTTCTTTCAGGTTGGTATTAGAGCTAATCTTGGAACCTTTATTTTTGTTATACTATTTTAGTGTCATTATTTATACTGGTTGTTACCTTTTGGGTTGACAATTGCACAAGGAGGGGTGACTCTTTATTACTAGTCAAACTCCAAAAAATTGTGGTTATCCAATTCCACATGCATTGCCACTATCTCTGATGCATGTAAGAGCCACGTGTCACCCTTATGCAAACCTACTTTCACTGCTTCCACAAATAGACTTACTATTATCCCTTTCTTCTTTTTTTCATAGGTTAGTTTTCTTAAAATGATGTCATTTGTTATATATCTACATCCATATGTCCTTTTCATTTTCTTGAAAACTAGCATTCAACATCGCTTGTTTTGAATCTTTATCAAAGCGTTCCTTCTACCTTAATCCTGTCATGGTAGAAGAAAAGATCTCATCATTCATGTCAAGCTAGATCCACTCATTTGGTGTCAAACTAAAGGGTGCTCTCTAGCTATAATGCTTAGCGAAAACCTTGTCTCTCTTAGCAAGGAATAGAGACAAACCTTGCATCTCTTGATGTTTAGCATTTAGCATGAGTGATCCACACTTAGCATGAGCTCACAAATTTGGGGTTTTGTGAAATCACTTCAACACACTTTCCAATGGTTCAATGGTTACATGGTTTAACATAGTAACATCAACAAGTGCTTTAGCTCGAGTACTTATACGAAATTCATGTACAAAGAATCCAAATTACATCTAAACATCAATTTCATGTATCTCAAGCACAAAACCTAATTGTTAAGACAAGCTAGTTTCTTTGTCTCACCGCAAAACTATGATTGGTTGTCATTGGGTTTATATAATGAAGATTGTACTGAATGGTGATATTGATCTATTCAAAGCTTACTTAGTGGCTAAGGATTATACTCAAATTTTTGGTCTCGCTTATGGCAACATTTTTCCCCAGTGGCCAAGAACACATTTGTTCTTCTATTTCTTACATTGTCTGCCATTTACCATTGACCACTTTATCAATTGGATATTAAAAATGTCTTTTTTCTATGGTGACTTGTAAAAAGAAGTTTACATGAATCAACTGCCCATTTTCACTATTTTAGATAGTCTCACCTTATTTGTCATCTTTGTCGTTCTTTGTATGGCTTGAAACAATCACTTCGTGTTTGGTTTGGCCAATTTAGCTCTACCTTACTACAATTTGGTATGATCCATTACGAGGCTGATCACTCTGTCTTTTCTCTTTACTCTCCATTTGGCCTGTGCATTTATCTGGTGGTCTATGTTGGTGATATTGTCATCATTGGTGACAATTTTGATGGCATTTGTTGGCTCAAATCTCACCTTTAGAGTCAATTTCATACAAAGACTTGGGATCACTCAAACGTTTTTTAGGCATTGAGGTTGCACAATTTACCTCTAACGTAGCCATTTTCCAATGAAAATATGCTCTAGATATTCTCAGCTAGACTGGTATGCTTGATTGTCACCCAAGTGACAAACTTATGGATCCTAATGTGAAGCTTCTTTAGAGTTAGGAGAAGCCACTAAAAGACTCGAGAAGATATCATCAACTTATTAGTAGACTTAATTATCTCACTATCACTAGACTAGATATCACATTTGCAGTAAGCGTGCTAAGTTAATTCTTAAAGGCCCTATGTGATAGCCATTGGGATGTTGTCATGCGCATCCTCAAATATATCAAGAATGCATCATGTTGCAAACTGTTATATGAAGACAAATGCTATACTTAAATTGTTTGTTATTCTAATGTTGATTGGGCAGGATCACCATCATATAGGAGGTCCACTTTTGGCTATTGTGTTCTTATTGGGTGAATTTGATCACTTCAAGAAGCAAGAGACAAAATACAATAGCTAGGTCCAACACTGAAGCTGAATACTTTGACATGGTTGCAGTTGCATGCAAAATTTTAAATGGCTTAGACAACTTCAACAACTACAGTTTGTAGACACTTAGATATTAAGCTTATTTGTGACGATCAAGCCATTCTTCACATTACATCTAATTCAATCTTCTATGAATGAACTAAACACTAAGATAAATTATCATTTTGTGAAGGAGAAAGTGTTTTCTAGTGGAATCACTGTTGACTTTGTTAGTTCTAATGATTGATTGACAAATATATTCACTAATTCTCTTAAGGGGTCCTATGTTGATTACATTTGTAGCAAGCTTGGTTCATCTGATATATATGTTCCAACTTGAGAGGGAGTGTTAGAGATAAGAAAAATATGTAAAACTAAAAATTTAAGGATTATGGATCTTTTTCTTATCTTTCGTAACTGGTTTTCTTAATTGTAATTCATTATAAATAATGTACAATATATGTGGATCATAACACAATTCTAGCAAGTCTCCTTTAAAAAATCTAGAGGTAAATCAAGAATCTTGGTGTAAAATTATGTTGATTGACATGCTGTACAACTTTGCTATCTCATGGAGATAAAGCTTGCCTAATATTCCTATTGAAAAAATGGCCTTGATATGTAAGAAATGGTACAACTTGGTGAGTCTATCTACCATTTTCATATCTTATTTGAGTACGAGGTAGACTTATCATGATGTCTATGGGGACACTTTCCCATTTCCGGTTTGGAACCTATGAAGTTTACAAGAAACTATACACCTTTTGATGCTAAATCTTGACTTGTTGACGTATTAAACACTTGGCTACAATCTCAATCATGTCCTTTTTCAAACTTACCACTAAAACATCTTTAGAAGATCTTAATAGCTTTTGGATGTATAGAGAACTTCTTCCTATGTGCTTCTTCCAAAATTTGGTCTCTCAAGTTACTAACCTTAGGAACACACACTCTTCCTTGGAAAAGAATGCTTCCATCACCAACTTTAGAAATTTCAAGTTAGCATTTTGAAGCTTACAACTTTATATCTACTTTTTGGGTCCCTTTAATTTGCTCCCTCAAAATATAAGAAACCTCAATCTTATGTAGGCTTATATTATGGTCATGTATGGTCATGTTTAGACTAAGGTTCTTAAACTCCTTTATTAACTATATCTCAAGGACGTGCAAAAATTTTCCTACTCAAGGCATCTATCACTATATTGACTTTTCCAAGGTGATACTTCAACGCTAACTTATATCTTTTAAGAACTTGATTCACCTTATTTATCTCATGTTAGACTCTTTTTTGTCAAACAAATTTTTTTTAGTTGTTATAGTCAATATATGCCACAAAGTTGACATCATGCAAATCATGTCTCTATAACCTTAGGGTAAAAGCTACAACTACTAGTTCAAGATCACAAGTAGGATGACTCTCCTCAATTATTTGGAGGCATAAACTTCTATCACTAAGAAAACGCAAATCAATGTCAACTTACTAAGTACGTCACTAACATTAAATAACATTGACCTACTAAATCTAAATTGATACTAATATGTTTTCAATTCATTTTTAAATTTTTTAATCTTTTTAATTTTCATGGGCTATGACCAACACCACTTATATTTTCTTTAAAAAGAATAAGTTGTTAGTATCAGCCAAATAAACACTAATTTCTAATTTTAAAAATAATTATTTTTATTATTTGAGTTAATTAGATCGATTAGACCAACTCTAGTTTTTCATCAATTTAAAAATTTAAAGTTCTCATTATCGTTTCCCCATCATCTCCTCCCTCACTTTCTTCTTCTCTATTTTTTTTCTTGTTTTTGTTTTCTCTTATTAAAGACCCAACACATTTTTTTTATGATAATGTCACGACCAACATTACTTATATTTTAATTTTTTTTTAAAAAATTGTTAGTATTGGCCACACCAATATTAATTAATGATTTTGGAAATAATTAATTTTTTAGTTGAGTTGATTGGACCAATCAAACTAACTAGTTTTTCATCAATTAAAATTTTTTTAAGTTCTCATTATCTTTTCCACCATCATCTTCTCCCTCACTTTCTTCTCTTTTGTTTCTTTTTATTTTTTGTTCTTTCTTATTAAAGACCGAACACTTTTTTTAATTATGATAATGGCATGACTTGGATAGCAACGGCCAAATCTTGTGGCAAAGATACTATGACACATCTTGAAAGAATAATAACATGGGAGGCAAATTAATGATTTATGCATTTTTGTAATGTTTCTTGAGCTTAATGGCTTGTACAACTTGATATTTTTTAAAAATATTTTTGTGTTGCAAGGTGGTGGAGAGATGGGCACTAACAAAAGCATATGCAATAACAAGGTTGATGGGGATTGAGGAATTTTGGTTGTTGCAGCTTGTACAAAGGAGAGTAATGAGCCTTGTGGGGCTTGGTAGTATGCTCCCCGTCCCCGCTCCCTTGGTTAAAAATCAACCTTGTACTTGTCCAATATCTGCAAGATTATCTATTAACCGGGTATTCATAAATTTTATTAATACTTGTGAATATCAATGAACGTTGTGGATTCTTTAAAATTTTTATAAAAAAAAAGCATTAAAAATAATTTTAAGCTTGTATTTAGTTTTAATTTTATTGAAATATTTGATATAAATAATTAACATTAACTTTTAAAATTGTATTTAATATTAATTTTGTTAAAATATTTAAAATAATAAAAGTCCCAAATAAACAATAACTTAAAGTACATTAATCTTACAAGTTGAATTGAAAATATGATAGATTATGAGAATTAGGAAAAATATGATAGATTAGGTGATTCAAGGTTATTTACTTTTATATTTATTAGGGTATTTAAGTATTAATACCTAGCGTGTTCTGTCTTGTTTATAAATGGGTAGAAAAATAATCATACTCATTATCCATCGATATTCATTTTAGTTATCAATTTATTATCTATGATAGGTTTTATTTGTGGATATGCGTAAGTACGTATTTTTTTGTCATCCCTAAGTAAGAGGTAGAAGAAAAGAGAAATGAGGAAAATGGAAGCAAGATAAGTGGAGTTAGAGTTTTTTTTTTGTGTTGTCTTGTTTTTGTAGTCCCAACTTGGTTGACTATAATTAGTGTATGTATAGAGTTAGTTTGGCCAATTCTAATAAGAGAAAACTTCTAGTCAGCCTTTTTTACATGATCTCAAGGTCGTCGTCACATGACCAACACAAAAATAATGGTTAGCATTTGGTGATTAGAATTGACTTTTGTCTGATATTAATTTATATTTTTATTGTGGTGTATTTTTTTGTCATATGTGACACTCTCTACCCCGCATACCATAACACATAAATAATAAAATCTGATTAACATAAACTCCTTCATAATCAAATGCTAAAGATGTCCAGATAGAGAGCACCACATCCGTAACTTGAACAAATAACATAATTAATGGAAATTACAAAAGAAATAATGCTAAGGTTTTCAAAATAATTTAATAAAAATAACATCCCAATCTAATCATATTTACACCCCAATGTCACATACAACAAAGCCCAACATTGAAGCTTAAACTTCATCACCAACATCCTTAGCCTCATGTTGATGATCGCCTGTATAACAATTAAAGAAAAACAACACAAAAGAAAAAGGAGTGAGATTCACTCCCTCTGGCTCACAGTGTAGGAATACACACCAGATAGCCAAATACAAACAAGACATGTATATATACATAACATAGAAAGATTAATAACAGTATCACACCTCACTCATCCATAACGTAAATCAACTAACATATAATATTAAAATTCACATGTAATGGACACGGATTACATATTATCACGCATGTGGCGCCAGTAACACATCACATGGTGCATTGCCGCTAGCAACACACGTAGAGTTATCTAGGAATACATGTTGGGTCACACCCTTTATGCACTCTCACCAGAAGGACATATTACTAGGATCTAGTCAGGATAGCTAAGCCATGCAAGATACATTTCATGCACAAATGGGCGAGATTGAGACTTTTTACGGAGCTATCCCCAAGGACTAATCCCCAAGCTTTTACATAAGGGGCCTTCCCTGGCAATGTATTCCATGTAATACCCTTAAAAACATTTATGCAAATAATGCATGTAAATCAAGACTCTATGCATTCTCATATCACATTATCATGTCTCATTATCATATAACATTATCATGTCATTCCACCGCATCAAATTTTCTCACATCATATACTCATTAATTATATTCATTAAAGGATAACATTGAATAACACAAGAGATTCACATCATTGCATATCATAGATCACAAGAGGGAAGTAATACATGATTCATATTACACCAATAGAATTCATCAAACAAAGAAGGAATGAAGCCTAACGAGACAACTAGCACTCAACCCTAGATTGGGCACTCAGTGAAAGGCTTCTAGAGAGTAATTTTAACTCTTTGGTTGAGCCACGCTAAGCCTCAGGCTCATGCTTAGCCTGAGGATCATAGACAACATTATCAGTTTTCTCTCACCTTGACACTTAGCGCTAGAAATGACGCTTAGCATGGTTTCTGCGATTAGAACTTTATAGATCTGTAATTTTTCGCATTATGTATCCAAATCATTAATCTCTTCATACAATGGAAAAATTGTTCTAAATCATGCCATAAGCACTCAAAACAATACAATTTACTCATGCAATTACATCTTTCAACCATCATCTCTTACAACTACCAACGCATTCCCTTAGGGTTCCTCATAGGAACCCATAGAGATCTCAAATCATACCATTACAATTCTAAAACTAAAATTAATCATTCATTCAAGCAATTCATACAATTAATTACATACAAGAAGAACAATAAGTGAAACAAACACAACTAGGGAAAACCCCTCATAGATGAGCACACAACAAACACAGGAATGGGGCTAATTCTGAAACACCTGATTTATAACTCCCAATATTATACGTATATATAAATATATATATATAAACGCCCGATTTATAACTCCCAATATTATACGTGTATATATATATATATTAAAAATAAAAGTGTATTATTAATAATATTATACGTGATAACAATGAGATATTTTTACAGGCTCCACATTCCAATTCCTTCCAAGGAAGACAGCAGCAATAACAACTGCAAAATGATCTGGAATCCTAAGTAGATCCATCTATTTTGTAATATATTTACTTTAAAAAAAAAAAAGAGGAGTGAGAACAATATCCAATAAATACAATAATTCAAAAGAATGTACAAAATTATTTATAATTAATATTAAACATACATATATATATATCATATATTAAATTTTCATCTTACAATAAAATTTGAATTATAGTTGTAGTGACTAGTCAGGATAAATGAGCATCATCATAATATTAACCAACAAAA